CAAGGATCTAGAACTAGAAATACCATTTGACCCAGCAATCCCATTACTGGGTATATACCCAAAGGATTATAAATCATTCTACTATAAAGACACATGCACACATATGTTTATTACAGCACTATTCACAATAGCAGAGACTAGGAACCAACCCAAATGTCCATCAATGATAGACTGGATTAAGAAAATGTGGCACATATACACCATGGAATACTATGCAACCATAAAAAGGATGAGTTCATGTCCTTTGCATGGACATGGATGCAGCTGGAAACCATCATTCTGAGCAAACTATCACAATGTCTGCTTTAGGATGGGAGGAAGATGGTTGGTGACAGGTTTTTACTGAGAAAACCAAACACCACATGTTCTCACTCATAGGTGGGAACTGAACAATGAGAACACTTGGACACAGGGCAGGGAACATCACACCCCAGGGCCTGTAGTGGGATGGGGGACAGGGGGAGAGATAGCATTAGGAGAAATACCTAATGTAAATGATGAGTTAATGGGTGCAGCAAACCAACATGGCACATGTATACCTATGTAATACACCTGCACGTTGTGCGCATATACCCTAGAACTTAAAGTATAATAAAAAGAAGTAAAAAATTTTTTTTAAATGAAATAAAATAAAAATAAAGACCAGGCACCATCAAAGGCAGATAATGACAAGTTGGGTGCATGAAGCCTAACAAGATACCTTGTCAAGGCTTCCTAACCACTCACTTACCCCAGCAAAAAGAAGAATGCCAAATTTTCCTTACTACAAAGATTACCAAAATAATAATAATTTTAAGTATATTCATTAACATGTAAAAATGCTCATGATTATATAAAGTGAAGAAAAAGCAACATAATCACATTTAATGTACACACTATTGCTAGATGTGTCTCAACTTCATAAACATTAACATGAAAAAATGAATTTCTTAGAGTTTAGGAAATAGGATATCTACAAAGAAACAAGTTAAATGCACACACCAAAAAAATGTAAAATGCCATGTGGTTGTTGAGATTGCAGGTAATTTTTATTTTCTTCTTTTCACTTCCTGTATCTTCTTTGCCTATAATGGTATGTATTGCTCTAATAACAAAATTGTGTAAAAACTCCTTCCTGTACACGAAGCACTTCTAGCTCCTTAAAAAAGTGATCTGACACTTTTAATCTCAAGCAAGCTGAAACAGAGCTTTTCCAGCCTGCTTTTGCACATGGGAAAGTATAAAGCTCAAAGGAGTTAGGTCACTTACCCAGTGTCACACATTGTGGTGTGTAAGCCCAGCCAAGACAGGCGTCTGGGGGTCCTGAAGGTCCTCTCCATGATAGCACCTAGTTTTGTGCCATTGTCTCAGCCCATGCACCCCCTAAAAGTGAGGCTCAAGATGAGCTAACCCCTTGCTCTTACCTCTGCCAGGCGGGAGTGCTTGTGGACATTCTCGCCTTTTTGCACGCTTGGAGCCAGCTGCTGCAGGACACCCCTGCTGCTTGTCAGTGCTCTTGTCAGCCGAGCAAACTTCCCCCAGCCTGAAGCAAGTAGAAGAGTGAAAAGACAGGGTCAACCACATCCCAAAGGTGCACAGACATTCACGTTAGAAGCTATATTGTCAGAAACAGACACCCCCAATGCCCTCCTAAGCTCCCAACAGTCACTCTGCATCCCTGCAAGCAAGACCCACTGCTCAGAAAAGCACCTTGTGTGTCGCAATTTGCTTTTCCCCTGCACTTTCACTTCATCCTAATCATAGTTCGTGAAGCTGGTAGAGCAGGTTTTAGTACCATTTTACAAATAGGGAGACTAAGACACAGACTGCCCGGACAATGAGAGTCTAGCACATCTCTCCACTATGGCCCAAGCCTTCTTCACCAGATAATACCAGGTAATTGAGATGGTTCTCTGATTTGGTAACTTGGCTCAGGCTGTTCCCAATCCCCAGGCTACCTGATCTTGCAGAAACAACTGGTTCTGGGTTTTAAATGGACAAGCTAGTTCAATAGCCATTCTATGCATTACCTTCTCCAAGGCCAGAGGAGTAAGAAATGATTTCAACCCCTGGGGAGGTGGGGGAAAAGCAGTGGTAGATTTTAGTCTGCTTTAGGATGGAAGAAAGATGGTTGGTGACAGGTCTTTACTGAGAATCGAAGATGTCTGAGTGATCTTGACACCTTTTAAAGGCCCCCAAAGACAACTGTCCATTTCAACACTCAACAACCCATCTACATCAAGGTTATGACCATGCAGTTGCCCCATGAGACCCTTGAAGTCCTGTCAGGATTCTCAAGAATCAGGAATTAGGTTTTAGGAGCTCCAAAAACCCAGACATGGGGTATATAGCAAATAAACAGAGCATGCAACTATTTTTACATTACAGCTAAAAGCAGGACTAGGTGATTTTATTTTTTTATATCCTTTAGAGTTTAGAAGCATTCAGCACCTTCCAGTAGAAATCTCATCTGCCAAATTTTACCCTGGAGCAACTTTCCAAGATAGAATCCAGAGGACAATGGAGTTAAGCAGAAGAATGTCCATATTTTATTTTTCTATACAACCTTTGAGAATCATAAACTGGATAAATTTTTGTCAAGATAGTAAGAATAGCAAATCAGCTCTTTTTTGTCTCATTCCAGAAGTGCCAGGCTTCAATAAAAAGCCAGTAGTGCTTTCATCCACCCTGATGCCACGAAGCAGAAATGTGGAACTGCTGGGATTGGCTTGAAAAGATACGCATAGTGGTTTGACTGTGGGCGGGTGGGGTATCCCACTAATGTTAACAGGAGGGGACAGCATGGACTCTGTAGGGGTCTTTGACATCTCCCCCAATGTCAATGAATGTGCTATGGGAACTATGAATTAAGATTTTTTAAAAGTCACTTTCAGAGGAAGGCTCTACTTTAGCTTAAAATACAGCTGAAACTGGATTCCAAAAAGCTTTTCGAGAAGAGCAGAGAGTTTATTTTTCAGTCAGTTGTGTATGTAAACATCAGCAAGGGCTCTGCACCCACCCTACCACCACCACCAGCGTGATCTATATACTGTGAGAACCGTGATGAGAGGGAGCTGGCAGAGCAGGTGCCGCAAACCCCTTGGTTCATCACCTGATATAACATAAAAGAATAAAAAGGAATATCCCTGGACCTCTGGGCATTTCCCTAGACTCAGGATAGCCCCTCACTCTCTGGACTAGCCCTGATTCTCTTTGCAAGAGTGGGCTCTTAAAAGCGTGGGCTCTCGGCTGGCTGAGCAAGGGCATGGGAAGGTGAGTGGGTGTTGAAAAGGAGATGGATGAACAGTGTGAAATTTGCATCACACTTCTACCCAGGATGGGCAGGAAGGAAGGAAATAAGTTTTTACCCAAGTTCCCAAACCCATATTTTCTTTCCTGTGCTATAGATACTTTATAATGGCAATCATGCCTCGCCAGATGAAAAAATAGATTCAATCACTCATGTGTTAATTCTATAAACATAATTACTAGGTACCAGGTATGGTACTAGATACTAGAGATATTAACATGAATAAGACACAGATTCTGGCCTCAGAGAGCACACACTGTAGCAGGGAAGACTGACAATTATGAAATCATGACATAGTGAACTAAGTTCTATGACAGGGATGAGTACAGAATGCTATGGCCAAGACTGTCAAAAGAAGGCATATACCTAATCCAGGCTGGGGAGACAAAGCAAGTTTCCTGAAGGAAATGGCACTAGAGCAAAGTTTTAAACAATGAGTAGGAATTAGGTAGACTTAAGGAAAGAAAGACATCCCACACAGAAGGAACAGCACCTACAAAGGCAGAAAATTATAAAACAGGGTAATATGTCAGTGAAGAACAAGACATTCGGAATGGCTGGATGAAGGGCCATGGCTTATAAGTGGGAGGGGGAAGCCAGGCATGTCCTGAGATGATGCTAAAGAGGTTGGCAGGGGCCAAACCAAGAAGAACCTGGACAGTAAAAACCTACAAGGTAAGTTAAGAACCTTGAATTTCATCCTGAAACCCACTGAGAGCCACTGAAGGACTTTAAATGTGGTGAGGAGGGAGATACACATGCCAATTTGCATTTTAAATGAACAGAACAACAAAGTGGATAGTGGGCTGGAAAAAAAAAAAAAAGACAGAGAGAAGGTATGTTAGGACAACAGGCAAGAGACCATGTGGGCCTGGACCAATGCTGCGGCCTGGGCCGGGGTCAAGGGGAGACTTGAGGGCAGCTACAGAGTCAGGACTCTGAAAAAAATAGCTATAGAGGAAAAGAAAAAGCAACCTAGGTGGCTCCTGAGTTTCTGGTTTGGGTGACAACTGGGGTGACAGCTATTCAAGGAGATTAAAAACATATGAAGAGCAAACCAATTTGGTGGAAGATAATACATACAATTTGGACCAACAATGTCCCTTACAGCAGACCCATCAGAAGAATCATTTCTGGAGAAAGTGAAACTCCTATTGTCCAAAAGGCCAAATGGGAGGGGACAACCCAAACCGAACTTAGCTCAAAATGGTCTTGCTCAGGGGAAGTCAGACAGTCACTTTCCACGTGATTCATTGTCATCCTTCAAGGAAGGATACTGGCCTACCCCTAGCAGGCTTACCTGCTCCCTGTATTGAACCCCAACTTGCTTTAGGCAGGCATATATTAGATCACTGACTGTGCTTTACTGTTTTATTTGCTTACCTGCCTATGCCTTCTCCCAAATAGACTCAGAGGCTCTATCGCAGGCATTTCCTTGTGTCCAGCACCTAGCATGAGGCCAAGCACCCAACAAGTGAATACAATAGGTGTATTGGACAAATAAAGAACAAATATTTTTTCTCTCATCACCCTACTTCTGTCTGGATTTGCAATAGATATAAGGTCCCAAAGGATAGGCAGCCCATTTCACAAACTCTCTTCAGTTTTAGGGGGTATTTCTGTGCCTCTCTTTTGCCAGGCATTTCTGCACCCACTCCTCCAATTACATCCCACTTGTAAGTTCAACGCTGAATAGTGCTCAAATGAAGAAACCCCTGGCCCAGGATTCTTCCAGTTCCATCACAAATGTCACCAGCAAGTTAGGCATAGCAGAGCTGTGGATGCCATGAGAAAATTGAAACCATACATGATCAGGAAAATGAGAGGGGAAGTGGGCAGGAGCAGAAGAGGAAGAGTATAGAAAGAAAAAAGACAAAAGGAGAGGAACACAGTATACAATCTAGCAATCAGCTAAAAGGTATTTACTGGGTCTTTTCTCCATTCTCAGGAATGGAGAAATGGCTTTTACCCTGTCTTGACCCGACAATGGCTGGTGGGTGTCAACTTAGCTGAGCCACCCATGAGCCTGAATCTTTCTTTTTCAGGCCAGAAGAGATGGTGCTGGGATGAGTTAGAATTCCAATTCCTCTGAGAGTAAGTCCAGGGGTACCAAAAAAGACAGAGGACAGCCTTATCCTGAGATACAGGGTCAGAAATTCAGAGGAGTTGATAGCATAATCCAAACATCCAGCAGAGAATAGTCAACACAGGGTACAGCATGGAGAGTCAGTGTGGACCACTGCCTAAGCGTCCTCAAGTCTCCTCCCACAATCTTTTCCTTACCAATGTACAAAGCACCAAAAATCTAGAATGGCTTCTTCAAGTAGCAGTCACTAAATCATCACTTTCCCATCAGCCTAAGGGCAGAGACATAAAATGTTAACATTGAAGGGGGGTGGGGCCTGCGACTTGTGTCTATTACTATTTCTCCCATGTCCAGCATGAAGATACATGGAGAAGGGTGAACAGTTACAACAGTTTGCCAGAGCCTTCATCCTGCAATATTCTAAATCTCTGGCTCTTAGAAACCTACTCCAAAGTTTTGCATTCCTTTTGTTGTCTGCATTTGCCTTAAGTTTAACTCTGAATTTAGAAGTAAACAAGTGAATCTTTGAAAATGAATTTGCTCCTTTAATATGACATTAGTTGGTGGGATAATAGAGAAAACAAGAGGACTGACTCATCCTTTGGTGAGCAATGTAAAGAGAGAAAATTCTGAGCTTTACACTCTAATTCTATACTCATTTGCCCAACCCTCCTGACTCAGAAGAGAGAACGTGACAGAAACATATCCCACAGCCTACTCCCAATTATCTACAACAAAAGAAAAAGCAAGAGATAAGGAACAAATGAAATCACTGGATCATCACAGATTCTCATTTTAGGCAGGAATTCCTACCTACTCTCTCATTCAGCCTTTAAGCACACACACACACACACACACAAACACACACACACACACACACACACACACACACACACACCAGAACTGTTAGCAAACAGCAAACCTAACTTGACTTTCATTCCCTGCTCCATGCCATCCGTGGGCACTATTTGTCAGAGAGTAAGAGAATTACTGTCAAAAGACAGAGAGCAAAGTGAAGATGAGGAAGTCAGAGGCCTACCTAGCTCATAAAAAGGACGGTGAGAACTGGTACACCAAATGACAGAGGGGACTCTGAAAGCATTTCCAGGACCCATCCCCTCTGCCTGAGGCTCTGGGTAGAAGAGAAGTTACTTTGTGTCAGATCCTGAAATAGGCTACTGTCAATTATCCCATGTGTTGGACCCTTTGCGGGTGATTTGTGGGAAAACTGGGGGCACAAACTGGCTTCTTGCGTCACTATCAGGATGTACCCACCCCAGCCCCAAGTCCCCAAATTAGGTACTACATGATCTGAGAAAACAAAGTAATTTTAAAGACAATTTGAACACAACTGATTTAAAAGGCTAATATGGTGGTGGGAAAACATCCCATGGGGCTATGCCAAAGAGCAATTATCTGGGAATTTTCTAGGGTTTTAGATTATCCACATTTCCATTTCATCTCCAAAGTAAATTCTAAACAAGCCTAAGTCAGCAAGACTCAAGATTCTTAATGGTGACTGAGGTGCTGTACTGAAAACCCAGCTGGTCTCCCGGAAAGAAGCTGCTGAGAGTACATCCAAGAAGAAATGTCAAGCCAGGAGATAATGCAGCCACATGGCAGCATATTTTCTAGGATCTAGACTTGATCCCTGTAGCAAAAATTGCAGTTTATAGACTTAAAATAACAAGGCCTAGAGAATGATCATGTGCTTCCATCATAAACACACTGATATAAAGTTTGACTTGTCCTAAGCAGACCACCAAACCACAGTGGGCCAGGGGCACAATGACATGGCAAGTGGGAAGGTCTGAACATATCTGCCATGGCATTTGAAATTGACAGGCTTATAAAGCCATGTCTTTGAGGAGACATTAAGCGTGGTCTACTAGCAGGATTCCTACATCGAGGGCTAACGTGTGTGTGTCAAATTTTTATGAATCCAGCCAGAAGTTACTCCTATTTATTTCACTGACAAAAACAATTAATATCTGGTCCCCTCAGCTAAGAAGAAACAGAGTAAATGTGTGTGTATGTCCTCATGAGTGTCTGTAAGTATGTATGTGTATATACCAAAACTCTTATCAACAGAGAAATGCATCATTGAGGCAGGTTAAATGAAGTGGAGTATTTTATTCCTGGAAAATAAACCTAAGTAAGTCTCACTACATCACTCTGATTTATCCCTCTTTAGGTTTCATGAGCATCAAATGCAGGCACCTACATGCCAGGTACGGAGCATTCTGTTAGGTATGCTTTTCCTACTAAATAATAACAGCACATCACCTACGAATGTTCCGGTGGTAATAAAAAAAAAACATTTTGATTCAACCAAATCACATGTCTTAAATTTTTAAGAGAAAAATTGCAAAAATAAGTGTAAAAATATTCAATTGCCTTCAAAATACTACTTTTGAGTTTATTAGGTTAAAAAAGCAACTGGCCTTTCTATATGGTAACAAGATGATACTTAATCATGAGTGAACCCACTGCCACGAAATAGCTACTGCACTGAGAAATCTTCAAATTAGAAACTAGAAATCGGGCAATCATGTATCTGTAAGCAAAGGGAGACTCAGGTGGCTGAAACACTGGTTGAGAGACTGCATCTGCTGCAGTCTTAAAACCAAAAGGCAAGCTGAAATTGAGTTAGTGAGCTATCAGACAGTTTTAAAAAAATAGGATGCACTGGTATTCACAGTACTGTGCTCGGAACTCCATAAATGTGAGTGGCTAAATGTGCCAGGATTTTAAATACCCTCAGAGGACACAGCCCTTGAGAGAGCATCCACATAATGCTTTTTATTTCCTCCTATAATGCTCATTTAACAACAAAAATTTTGTCACATCAAAAATAATATGTCTCAGTTTAACTCTCCCCTGGACTCCGCTCTCACCTCTTTGCTACATCTCAGGAAACCACAAGGAGCAGACTTCGCCAGCAGAGCTGAAAAATCAACCACAGAGCCAGGTAGCACTGCAACATGAAAAAACTCCTAGCCTCTTGGTTATCTTGAGTGTAAGCTATGAACGAGGGATGGGAAAGAGGTTCTATGTCATCCCCTAATCCAAAACCTCTGGGACTAACTTGCCATCTTTTTTATGTCCTGATGAGCTGAACCTCTTCAGGGATACAGTTGTTGCAGAAACCCTGAGCCATCTCCTTTCCTGGGTCCCCTATGTTATGCAAACAATACATGCATATGATATGGCTGAGATGAGTGCTAAAATCTGTGATCACACAGCTAATTAAATGACCCATATAGAAATGTTACTCAGGACCTGGCTTCATTAATGTCATGTTCCAAATGAATTAACCAGTCACAGACTTAATCAACCACAGACACAAAGATGTGCTAAAGTCTGCTGTAACAACCTTGAAGTGCTAGAATTCAGTCAAATCTAAGAAAGTTTATATATAAAGCAGATGAATGTAGCCATAGACCACCCCATTTGTATGACTGACATTTGTTATGTGAAAACTTAAAAAGATTCTGATGATACTAGAGTTGCCAAACTATCTTCTTCTGCCTAACTAATATCGGAAAGGGTTAATTATTAAAGGTATGAAATTGATTGAAATGCTTTCCTAAACAAAGTGTTTTTTCTCCCCTTCTCCTCCCTGGATACACTCCGAAATGACACAGTGCTTTGCTCCATACAAATTAAAGTTAGAATCTTGAGGTTTGTAAAGTGATTGCCTTGACAACCACAAATTCTCTGTAATGAGAGCCACACTAAAGACAAAAAAGGCATAAATGTATCTGTACAAGTGAGAATTACAAACCTTTACATGAATCATCCTCAATTGGCTGTTTGAAAGCTGTTATGTCACTGAAAGTGCAAAGAAATAAAACCACTTTATCCTGTTCGTTTCGAATTGGAGCAATTTTCACAAAGAACCACACAGGTGTCCCTGAAAGGAATATCAAAAGGTTGGTCAGTAATTTGCATTCTCATTTGAGGGGCTATGGAAGCAAAGACTTGGGAATGAATAGGTACAAATATTAATTCATTTTTCAAATGGTCTTATTCCTTCAAGTCCTGGGTTATCATCACACCATAAATTTTTTTTCTTGCTGGAATAAAAACTTTCACAGTGACTATTCAGTAAGGGGTTTCTCCTGTTCAACTAATTTTCTAAGTGCAGATCTCTTAACTTGTAAAACAATTAGGAAATAGGTTGAAAACCCCACCTGATCTTATGGAAGAAACTTAGGTACAAAGACCTAAAGACTTACCTTAGACCACATAGTAGACAGTAAAGAGTAGGGGCCAAGATAGGCCCTGCCAACCATGGCCAGCAGACCATGCCAACTCAAATTTCAAACTTCATCCATTGCTAAAGGATCCCAGGGTCAAAATCCAGTTTAGGAATCCACCAATTTGACTCATATGACCAATCACACATGGGCCAGAAACTATATTTCCTTTTTTTTTTAAGACTCTCAGGCTGGA